AGGTCACGCCAGATGGGAACGCGTGAGGGAGGCCATGCACAGTCACCCGCTGCAGACCTGCAGCGCAGAGAGGAGACGCCTGCCTGTAAGCATTGCACCGACCCTGCGTCGCGCGTTCTGGTCACTGGCTCAGCCGTAGGTGCGAGGGCTGTGCCGGACCAGCGCTGCGTTGCTGACGTGGCCCTGGCTCGGGGCAGCTCGGCGGGGAAATCTGGTAGCCGTCACCTTTGCACAACCACTGCGTGTGCGAGGAATTGCGTTTGGCTGGGTCACGTATCAGCGGGTTGGCTCATCTGGCAATGAAACTGGTCCCCGTCTCTGTGGCAGAAGGTGAAGGAGTTTGGGGAATGTGGTGTCCTGGTCACCCCCAAAGCTTCGTGCCTGGGAGGGGACATTTCCACACCGCCGAGGCTCAGCCGTGTGCATGCCGACCCCTTCCTTTTCCAATCCTTTTCCCGTCCCTCCCAACGCCATCACCCATGTTTAGGGACTGGTGGTTGGGTTTGGGAGGCCTCAGGTTGGCAGCGGGTGGATACGAGGTGCTGAGGGTTGTTCATCCGGTGACTTCCAGAGCAAAGCACCCAACCTTGCGCTGTGTCCGGCGCAAGATCTGCTGGGAGGGACATAATAAATTATGCAATTTGCCTATTGATGAATTTAATGCTGACTCTGGCTTCCTAAGTGTCAGGATCCTGGAGGACTTTAGGAAACCTGAGGATCTTAAGTGTGCTTAAAGGAACGTTAAGGGTGCTTAAATGCATCTCTGCAAGTGCCACGAGTGCATGGGGTGGCTGCTGGGGCGGTTGCTGTGCCGGGGGCTGGCAGGACCCCGCTTGCTGATCGAGCTTGCCAGTCTCTGGAAAATCGGGCTGTTTAGCTACATGTCCCACAAGAATCGCTGCTGGGGAGGAGAGCGGTAATGAGCACAACCACAGCTGCTGAGATCTGTCCCGTGCCACTAGCGGTGACAGTGACATGGAGCTGGGCCAGCGCTCCCAGGTCTGTCACCTCCTGGTGAGTACCAGGACCCGTCTCAGCCCGGGGGTGACCTGTTACCAGCCTGGCAGCGCTGGCATCGGGGGTGAAGTGACAGGAGAGGAGCTCATCGCAGGCACCGGGAGCCAAGCTGGCGTGGTGCTGGCAGCCTGCGCTGGCTGTCCTGCCTCCTTGATCAGGCTTGCCCAGAAAAAAATTGACCTTTTTGAAAAATAATTTTTAAAAAATTGGCTTCTTTTGGACAAGATCAGAGCCCAAAGTGCTGGGGGAGTGGGGCCAGGGCTGCAGAGCATGCTGTGAATACAGCCCCAGAAGAGCAGCTCAGCATGGCGTGAAGGTCTTGGGAGCGAGTGCCAGGTGCCCTCGTCCCCAGCCACGTGTCGGAGCAGCCTTTGGGGTATTGCACCGTGCCGGGAGCCCCATTCCTCCTCAGCCTGACTTCACAACACCCATGCGGCTCCATAGGCAGACATCGTTGCAATTATTCAGGGAGCAGCTTGGATTTGTTGCCCCTCGCCTGATCTCCCCTGGGTGCCTAACCGGAGCACCCCGTCCCAATCTGGAGGTGGGTCCCCTTCCCCTCTGATGCCGGGCACTGCACAGAGCGAGGGCTGGGGCAGTCCCAGCACCGTGATTTATTCCGTTTACACCGTTTATTCCCCGCACATGGCCCCGCCACGCTTGTTTATTCATCCAAGGGTGAGCATGGGATGACCTTGAAATTTATAGGCTGAAGAGAGCAGTAAAATAACAGCTAAAATAAACAAATCAAGCTGTAAAGCTTGAAAACTATGAACTGGCTTCAACAAATTGGAGTCGGCAGGGAGAGAAAGCCGAGATGGCCTGGAGAGACGTGGTCCCCGGGGTCTCGGCATGGGCTCAGGAGCTGGAGACACCGAGGGTTTGACCGATGGGCTTCGCACGCTTCCATCCCCATCCCATTTCAGTGGCACCATGGAGACGCCCACCTCTCGCCGTTTGCACGGGGGCTCGGTGTGGCCGTCTGAGTGTCTACCAGGCAACTCAAACAACCAAGGGGAAGAGCAAATGGAGAGGGCGCAGGGCTGCACAGCAGCTGGGCTGAACACCAAATCCCATCCAAATCCAGCCTCTCATCTTTCAAGTGATCCGAGCGCCCCAGCTGCGTGCACGTGGTTGCTTGCCCAGGCTTTAGCACCTTGATAAAAGACAGTCCTTGAAGAAGAGCACGAGGCCGATCCCAAGTGCCGGGAGAGCACCACGTGTGAGATCCGGAGAGTGGCCTGATGCCCAAATGAAATCTGAACTGGTCGCCCTGCTCTGTAACTCCCAGCTCCAGTTCTCCCTCGGGTTTATTCTGGACAACAGCAGCAGATTTGCTAGAAATAGTTAGTGTAGCAGATGAGGGAAGGAGGGCTCGAGAGCCTGTTGAGCTGGACATAATGGTCTCATTTGAGCATGGAGCCCGTGGGGGTTGTCTTCTCTGGAAATTGGGATTTGAATCACATGCCGCTCTCCGCCTCCCCTCAGCCTTGTCATCCCGTGGCAAAGCTGCCCCGGTTGCTAGCTGGGCATTGCTGGGCCGGGTTGCGTTCCCCTCTGTGCCTGCCCTTGTAGATCAAAACGACCTGGGAACACCCGCAGCCCACCAAGGTCAAGGTTGAGACACCTCCCCAGCGGCTGCGGGTCCCCCGTGC